CTACTACAAAAAGACAGATAAACAAAAATGTTAAAAAATGTTATTTTGGTAATGTACGTTTTTGTTATTTTGTGTATGTATATTCATATGCATGTAGTAAAAACGGTTATTTTAATATTACAATCAGACACTTCAATTTTATTTATCTGGTATAGATTGTTAAATTCTTTATACGAACACCTGTTAATAATTTATTTAACTCTTTTTTTAAAAGAGGAATATCATCGAATGACTGCTCCCGCCTGGGTGAGGCAAGAGGGAGTGTCAGACTCTTACTGACTAAAAATCACCCCGTTCCTACTCCTGCGCGTCGAGCCGGAGCCCCGGTAACCCATTAGGTTCTCCGCGACTAAAAGGTCAATTTATATAACTCTAAGGGCCGATCAATCATCAGTTAATTCTTAACTGTAGAATAAAATTGACATTTGACAGTTTTTAGTATAGAAGAATTGTCAAATATTCAAATTTATTCCTTTAATAAAATTTAACTGAGCATTGAAAAATCGGCCCAAAGAAAGTTAAGCAAGTCAAGATTAGACTTGGGTACTATTTTGTGGCCTATTTTATACTAAGTATCGTATGTCAACCATCTTTCATCTCTCACAGACTTGCTCCAGCTACCTGGTTTCCGAGAAACACAATGAACAAGTGTCAAATATGGATGCTCCTTCACTCTCATTAGGCCCGCGTCACCCACCATTTACCTGATGGAGTTTTTTTTCTTTTTAGGGTTCCATGGGAATAAGCGAGGATTTTCTAAGTTGGTCTTTCTACACATGTGTAATTTTTTTTGTATTACTTAATTTTAAAGATGAAATTCTACGCTTCTTACACTGCAATGGAACAACACGGTTAGTGCAGTGGCTGGGCCTGCCACGCAACGTGTCGCGGGTCGATTTCCGCACGTATCAACTCTTTGTGTGATCCACAAATGGTTTTTCCGGGTCTGGATGTCATGTGTATGTGAAATTGTATGTTGTTAAACACACCCACGAAACAAAAATTATAGTAAAGGGCAACAAAAAAACAATTGAAGTGTAGCATTTTGAAAGATTTTGATAATAATATAAAAGCCTTTTGTTCTCCAAGGGATTTTGCAAGGAAGAATTTTATACACATACACATACACATACACATAACATCACGCCTTTTTATCCCCGAAGAGGTAGGCAGAGGTGCACATTACGGCACTTAATGCCACTGTACAATGTAATACCCACTTTTCACTATTTATGTTATGAGTCCCATGTAATAGGGGGTGAGCCTATTGCCATATACCGGGCACAATTCCAGACTCCGTGCTACTACTGAGATTTTTTTTAAAAACCCAGTAATATTTTACCCGACCCGGGAATCGAACCCGAGACCCCTTGCCCGGCAGTCGCACTAGCGACCACTCAGCCAACGAGGCAGAGGAAGAATTTTAAAACCTTAAAAACTTTGGACACTTACTCAATCATTCGTATTTAATTCAAAATCCCTGGCATTCAAAAACATTTGTGTTCGCAACCACTTTACTATAGACAGATTTGATTCTTACTCATAGCAGTACAGAACCCCGTACAAAAATGCGACTCACGTAGAAATTTTAGCATTTTTGCATAAGGTATGGTATACACAGGGTACTTTTAGTGTGTATGAAAAAAAAGAACTGGAATAGACCTTTTAGGGGCGGGAAAAAGATTCTTTTTTACGGTTATGGGTGGCGTTTTTGATGGGACCCGGGCGTTAGCCGTTTTTTTTCCTTTTTTTTGTTTTTTTTTTTCGGAAAAATGATGGGAGTTTCGTGTCAAGCATTTATTGGTAGGCTTGGTATTCGTTTCTTTATTTATTCAGTGTCAACAAACTCGTAAATATTGTTGAGTTTTGTGTCCCGTGAAACTTACATATGTTGTCATTTCCTTTTGCTAAGGCGTGGATATTGGTGTAAGTAGTGTTGTTGTGTTTTCTTTAATTTTATTAAATCAATAACGTCTCCACATTAAGATTTTCTTCTATGTCGTAGGTGCCTTTATAAACATACAAGTTCATATACACATGACACCCAGACCCGAAACAATAATTTGTGGATCATTCAAAGAGTTGCTCCGATGCGGGAATCGGACCCGCTACACGTTGCGCGGCAGCCGGTTACCCAGCTGCTTATTCTGTAGTATCCTGCATTACATCATTTTGAAAGATATTATGCATATTGTTGATATTAAGTATCGATATTAAATAATTTCCTGATTCTTTTTTGTCTAATATCAATTGAACCACATGAACGGTTTAAGTTATGTTAAATCAGTGAATTTTATTTTTAGCTTGATTTTTCTGGCTTCTCTCATTACTTAGATTAAATAGGTATTAAACTATCAAACACCAAGCAGTCACCAGTGACCGCAACCTATTGTTCTTTAATTCTATCTATGTCTATAAATACGGTACTCGACGAGTTAAGCACTACAATATTAATAAAACGAAAGCAGGCCACGGGGCTTCTGACTCGCGGAAGACTTAACGGGTTGCCTGGGCTCCGGCTCGAAGTGCAAGGGTAGGAACGGGGAGGTTTTTAGTCAGTAAGTGTCTGACACTCTCTCCCGCCTCACCCAGGCGGGAGACGTAATAGGATGATTTTCCCCCTCAAAAAAAATGGGGCTTCTGACTGCCGGTTTGTAACAGTAATGGTTATTTATAAATTAGTTATTCTCTTTTTGTAAAATATAAGATTCGTATATTGGTTTTTAGTTGTATCTTTCAATGTGTTATTTATAGTTAGGAAAATTTGTTTAATTAAATTAAGATATCACTACCGTAACACGGTCATTATTGCCGTTATACTCTGTACCAAATTGTGGGCAATGGTGTGGGTTACATATTTACTGTAGATATTGTTCAGTGTAAGACTTTTTATGTAAATTTTTTATATTTAACTGTTGTGTTTTGGTCATAAATATATAAATAGATAAATAAAACACAGTAATAATTTCCAAATAATAATTTATTTATGTTCTAAACAAAATGGTATTTAATTACCTATACAAAAAAAAAACGAACGACAATTTTTTTTCAAACACAACTGATGCGCCTAATCAAAGATGGCATCCGTCATTAAAATATAAATATTTTAAATATCAGAAAAATTACCTTTACGATTAAAATTAATTATTATTAACATTGAAGATGACAACACATTCTAAATTCATTCTTAATTGGTAATTAATACGAATTAAAATAAATAAACAAATTGCATGGATTGATTTTATTAAACTGAATTTGCCTTCTACGGCTTAGTTTTTACAGATAATTCGAGAACCCAGTATAATGTAGCTTTATCCGGACATCGTATCCCTAATCCTATGATCAGGGACCTATCCCTATGGACGACAAGCCAATCAACACGACCTGCGTCACAGAAGAATAAAAAATGATTAAGATTATTTGTTAAAACTACAAAAATATTGTTACAATTAAATTCGCTATTATAGATACATAATATATTAATTACGCTACGATATTCAAGTCAAATTGAATAGAAACTTCATGCACCCAACTACAAGAACCCCTAAGCTAAAATAAGTGACATTTAACGTCATTTTGTTACCTATTAGTGACACCTAGCAGTAAAGTAAGGGGTTAGTGTAGGTGTAGCACCTCCACTACTCAAGCTAAGTAACTGGTTTACGAGTCGTTGGTGAATACGACCATCAGTGACATTGACATTAGTTTTTACATAATATTTATTTATTTATTTATTTATGTACACACATATAACATAAAGGACAACACATACATAAAATTAAAGTACAAAGGTACCACCTATTCCTATTGGAATTTCTTCCTGTGGACCTGGAGCAGGAAAAGTAATAATAATATAATGACACAGTGTATAGTAACAAATAGAAAATTGGGATAGGAAACAGACTTATCGTATGTCAATTTAAATGTCAATGTCATATAATAGCTTTTCTATAAATATCAATTTGACTAGCGCGTTATATCATTTGTCTACAGGCTTAATCTACATTTAATTTAACGACTTTTTTTTAAATTACGAATTAAAAAGAGACATAACAAAAAGGAAGTGAAATAGAAAAAGAAGGCACTGTTTGACAGCGACTTAATGAATGAAAGATGCTCAGTAGCAAAAGATGATAGATATCACAACATTTCAAATCATAATTTACCTTAGGTCAAAGTAATTTGGTTTAAAATTAGGTGTCTAACATGTCTCTTATACAGTGGTTTGATTTAAAAATCATGTTTAGATATGATTCTAAAATGATTTACTTAACTAAATGAAGACTACTACATCTTGAATAAATGAAGTGATTTACTTCATTTTAGTATTTTAAGTTATCGTCTGTAGACTGTTTCACAGATTAAAAAAAAATTAAAACTAAAAGTTGTGCTTATAGTTTATTATTTATTTAACAACTTCGGCTTTGTGAAAATGCCACATACAATGTCCCTGTTTGCAATTAGGTAGATACTAATACTTCTTGTTGTTACGAGGTTATGGAAATGTTCTTTTTCCACGTACACATTCATTCGTATATTATTATTTTGTTCACGTTTATCTAAATATCTTCTATATCATATTTATTTGACAATCAATAAATTCACAATCAGACACTTTAATCTAAAATAGAAAAAAAAGTGACAGCAAAATACAACACACTGTATGAAGAGATACCACAGATGATGAAATAATGGAGGCATACGCTCATCACATTTTGATCAGCAAAATCAAGTACAAAGTCATTTAGCCTCTTTGAGCATCTTTTAAAGAAGTGAGCGCATATTGACCCTTCATTATTTTTATCATCCGTGTGAATTTTAAACTTTTAATTGAAATATACAGCCACGTAGTTTCAAGTTACACCGGCGGCCATATTTATGACGAGCAGTGACGTCACATAGTTGCATAACTATATCGAATAGTTCTAGTTTACGTGTATAAGCCGTATATTTAAATTAATTTATTATGAGTTTTATTTATTTTGTTTGGTTTAATTCAGTCAACTGTTAACTATGACTCTGCCGTCGAGTTGGATGTTAAGAGGAGAATGAGATCTGATGTATTCTTCTACGATCTTCTGATCGCGTCCAATGTCTCTTTCGTTGTGTTTGCCTTCTTTGAACATCTGGAAATTGGAAAAATATAATATGTAAATTTTTATTTTGATAATTTTAGGCTTGTTTTCCGCCCAGGGTTCTTAGTACCCCAGTTCCATTAAAGAGGCGCTGGGAACTCGGGGCCGTGCCCAGCGTTAGACAACGTAAATTAGAAGCCATCTCCAACATCCAAGCGTGAATTGTAGAGCTTGCTGTTGGTAGGCTTTGAACCCGCCCCTCATGCATGAGAAGCAGGCGTCTTAAACCACCGAGCCCCCACGACATTACATTTCTTATACATATACATAAAGTAAACGTTTTAACTCGTCGGGTACCGGTTTTATAGACACAATTAAAGAACAATAGGTCGCGGTCACCGGTGACCGCTTGGTGTTTGACAGTTTAAAGACACTTACGGTGAACCCATCGCCTCCATTGGCCAAATATAAAGGCGCAGTCACATGGTATATTTTATTGTCATCAAGAGGTTCCTTGCTTTCTCCAATCTCTAGTGAGGTGATACGATGATTCTCAGGTAAAGAGACGTTGTAGGTTACTCGAAGACCTGGAAAATATTACATTTAAACTGCTGAGCATATCAGCTTTTTGAGTCAAGAAAAGTATTACGATAGTTTTTTTAGTTAAGAGAAAATTAATCGATACATATAATAAAACTGTGTGCAAATTCTGTATATTGAAAATATAAAAAAAGAATAGTAAGGGGTGTTACAAGATGGTGTCTTGTCTGTCTGTCTGTTTGTATGTTCACGGAACACGCAAAAAGTATCGGTCGGATTACGATGGAGTATGATTATACTTTAATATCTTGGGGACAACACTGAGTACTTTTTATCCTGATTATCCTGAATAAGTAGGTACACAAAAAATCAAACTTAATTGTGCGGCTCAATCCCTAGACGCAAATATAAGTTTGTTGAATGTTAGGCTGCCCGCAAAGGACTTTGAAATTAGCTTGATACGATAATACAAATGCGAAAATATGTGAGTTTGTGTGTATCTTTGTTACTCAGTCATATCAAAACGACTGAAGGGACCGGGAAGAGGTAGACTATGGTCTAGATTAACATAGGCTACTTTTTAACCCTGGAAACACGGGCTAAGCTGCTGGACGAAGCCTTACCTATCCATTTATAACATGGGCTTGAGAAAATTATGAAATTATGGCTGATGATATGAGACAACCGATGGCTATTGCACCAACAACACCAGAAGTATCAAAGATGCATTGTGGACCATGTAGAAAAGTTTTAATTGCGCTGTTTTCCAGTGGGTATTTAATTTTAAAGGAATACTAGTATTGAATATGAACATAGTCTGAAATTGGTCAAGACAATTATAGTAAAATTCCCACCATCAATTACCTCATAACATAATTTCTAATAATGGAACAAGGTAAAGGCTCAGTACGACTTCAAAAACGAAATTAAAGTTTAGAAGACAGAAAGAGAAGAATGTAAGCAAAAGGAATGTTTGAAGGGGAAAGTGAACCGAAAGACCATGTGACCATGTCAACTAGTGGAACTATAAGCAAAGACCACGATGCACAATGTTGAAGAGATTAGTAGCATAGGTTTTGACCAATAATAACAATCAGGACGAATCAAAGAACTACGACTGTCCAAAGAAGAGTATACATTTTTATGTTATACCAATACTTTTAACCCACCAGAAACCTGCAGCAACCAGGGTCCCTTGAATGGATTGTAAGCCCAAGCATCAATGACACTCCTCTCTAGAGCCTGCCGAATGTACTTCCCTTCGATGTCGAAGATCTCTACTCGGTCATTGAATGGGAGGAGTTCGAATATTGATCCAGCTGTTACCACTGAAACAGAAAAAAAATTGTTCAGAAAACAGAACAATTCAATCAAAATTTATAAATCTGTATTATCTACAACTTTGTTATACATATATCTTAATACTATGTATACAAAAGCTGTTAGCATGCCTATTTAAATAAATATATGCTAAATTAACTAAAAATTACGAGTTACTCACGTAAATATACTCGGAAAACATCTACTAATTTCGAGTTACAGAGGGATTCTTCCTCATGAGCAGCGTGCGCGGTCGCCGCGCCGCTTCGCTTTTCTCAGTATATTTAAATACGTACATATTTTATTTTTATCCCGTTCGATTAGGTCTAGTTACGTCATAGTGTGTAACATAAACCAACTATGTAGACAAATAATTTAACTTACCTCCTTCCATAATTGAAGCCTTGATGTTTCCACGTTGGATAAACGACATATAATGTATGTCTTTTGAAGTGGCGTTGTTGGCCTGAAATAGAAAGCGCAACTTTAAAAAACAAACGCGTCGTCAGAGTTTATAATATTTAAAAAGAAGGTAAAAGAAAAAGCATGCTTATAATTTTTTTATGGACAAGCCGCCACATCCTCCCGAAACCGCTGCAACTCCTGTAAGCCAGGATCTACAGTAGATACAACTATGAAAAGTCAGGAACACTGAAGTCCGGCCGTGCCGAAGTGCCAGGGACATGGATAACTGTCTTGGTACGCCTCTAAATTTGTTCTTTTTTTTTGGGATAAGCCGGTAAACGAGCAGACGGATGTCCTGATAGTAAGTAATCGAGTCGCCCATGAACACCTTAAACACCAGAAGCGTTACAAGTGTGTTACCTTCCGTTCGGTCTTTTGGGGCTTAGTAATTTGAGGATTGTTGTGGATTCAAGGATTGGGAAAGGGTGGGGAGCGGTAATTGGGCGTCCGGTAACCTCACTCACGCGACGAAATATAACGCAAGCGTTGTTTTACGTCAGACTTCTGTGAGGCCGTGGTATCACTCCGGTCGAGCCAGCCAATTCGTGCCGAAGCATGGCTCTCCCACACTTAAAAGTTAGTTATTGACAATTAATTGAAGACATAAAAGTGGTAATCAGTTTCTGTTTCCGCGTGTCCCTTTATCAAAGCACATTTCTCAGTCCAGATATAAACATGTACTCACATTTTCAACCATGGCATCAGCCAATAAGTTTCCAATGGTACACTCCCCGAAGACACAGTCGTCGAACCTCATGGTGTTCAAAGTTGACCCCACCGGAACATTCTCAGCTTCATGCACTCTCTTCGCATAGGGAGCTAACTTTTCTTTTATCACTTGGTCTGAAAAAAGATTTGAATAGTTAAAATTACGTAACATAATATCACGCCTTTTATCCCCGAAGGGGTAGGCAGAGATGCACATTACGGCATTAAATGCCACTGTTGAATGTAACACCCACTTTCCACTATTTATGTTATGAGCCCCATGTAATAGGGGGTAAGCCTATTGCCATATACCGGGCACAATTCCAGACTCTGACTCTTCCCTACTACTGAGTATTTTTAAAAACCCAGTAATATTTTGCCTGACCCGGAATCGAACCCAAAGACCATTGGCCGACAGTCGCACTTGTGACCACTCGGCCAACGAGGCAGTCATTCAGTCAATTACATTAATTACATATTTACAATGTTCTTCATTCAGGCAATGTCAAGTACATCTCACATAAGGTTATCATGCGAGTTATCTAATGTTGTACATAGTTAAGAAAAAACATTTATTTTAAGGCTAATCTAATTATAGAAGAACTTTGATTATGCACACTTATTTATCAACTTGATTGTAATTGAGTCTTCGGTAACCTCACGCACACGACGAAACATTACGCAAGCATTGTTTCACGTCGGTTTTCTGTGAGGCCGTGGTATCACACTGGTCGATGCGGCCATTGTGCCGAAGCATGGCTGTCCCACACTTAAATATCTTAAGTATCATTATGCATTATATTTTCACTTTACCTTCAAGTATGGACCGGTCTAAATACAGCGGGTTGCCTTCCCACTTGACGTAATCGCCTCGGAAGTCGAAGTAGACAGACAAGTTACCCATGTACTTGGTGAAAGCTGAAGCTTGGACTATTAAAACCTGAAAAAAGGAACGCTTGAAAATTATTAAATTATCTATATTAGAGGTATAATTTTCGTGAGACATGCTAAAATAATTATTAAGTTTTTCAGATTACTCACGTAATTATTTGACGAGGAACTCGACTAGTACCAGTAGAAGCGCGGTATTTGCCGCGTCGCGCTTTGCGGTATGCTGCTCACGAATATGTGCCTCTAGCATGGCTTGAAACTAGTCCACTTCCTCGTCAAATAATTACGCGAGTAAGCCATAAAGCATAACACAAAATCATCATTGCAAATGGGAAATATTTTGGTGTTTTCCCGAACAAGCTTTATCAGTTTAACTAAGTAACTGCTTAAAATTATTGTCGTCAATATGTTTTAATTATGTTTTACGCGACGTGATTAAGGTAGCAAAGCAGACTACTATTATAGTCACCGCTGCTCTTCCCTCGCCATGACAGTAATAAGAAATGATTAGGGAATCATACACTTGAATTGTCAAATCACTTCGAGGGCTGTTGCTGTTGATTCTATTTAGATACTAGCTGTTGCCCGCGACTTTATCTGCGTGGAATATGATTCCTGTTTTATTCCATGTGAGTATTTAATCGGAATTAAAATCGGGTATCCTCTCACTTAGGTGATCACATGGTCAGCCTATAACCCGCCTGTATTTGGAATTTTATCAAAATCCGTTTAGTACTTTCAGCATAATTGACCAACAAACATCCAAACACCCAAACAAAGAAACATTTATAATGTTAATGTGATTTTAATCTAGAAAATCAATTACCACTGTGTGTGTAATGAATAATTAGTACATATTCGCTTGTCTCCTTACCTCATGTTCTTTATCGACAGTAGGCTCGATGAACACAGGGTAAGGACCTTCGACAACCTCCCCGCTGGGAGCTTTGCCATTCCAGAGTAAACTGTGGCTGTGGCCTCCCACTATTATGTCTATGTGTTCTCCTGCATCTCGGGCTATTTCCCTGGAAAAACAAAAAAAAACATTTAGTTAAAATAGTATTTTTAGTCATTAACTGTACACTTCAATGGATCGACTGACAAGAGACGAAGTGGGAGGTATCATCTATTGTGAGAGATGAACTGTGACGCAACTGTGACGTTTTCAAGTGTGGGAGAGCCATGCTTCGGCACGAATGGGCCGGCTCGACGGGAGTGATACTACGGCCTCACTGAAAACCGACGTGAAACAACGCTTGCGTTGTGTTTCGTCGTGTGAGTGAGGTTACCGGAAACCCACCCGCTCTCCAATCTCCCCAATCCATCTATTCTCAAAAGGCTGGTAACGCACTTCTAACGCCTCTGATGTTTCAAGTGTCCATGGGCGGTGCCGATTGCTTACCATCAGATGACCCGTCAGGTCGTTTACCGGCTTATCCCATACAAAAAGCATTCTGCGTCGTCGCAACCCTGGTGGAGCCTACAATGCGTTGTTGCGTTGGACGCACAAATGGAGCCTCGTTAGTTGAAATTATTTGTTCAATTTCGCTAATGTAAGAACAGATGAGTATTCTTTTGTTTGTTCTGTGAGTACCTGTGTATATCTTACGGCAGTCAACGACACGAGTAAAAAAAATCAACGAAACCTGAATTGAATAATTAGCATCAAAATGTCTTTGTTTAAATACCTAGGTATTTGATATAGGTACCTATAAAACGGTTCTGTATTTTTTCTTTGTTTTCAAAGAACTTGCATTACTAATTTAATTTCTCATGGTCTTTGCACATTTTGTTTAAACAAGGGTAATACCGTTTTGAGTTGAGTAAAAATAAATATGTAACTGCTTATATCTTTAGAAAGATAGTTAGCATAATGTAGGTACTATTAGTTACCAGTTAAGTAGTTTCTAGCTTTGTCTGCGTTATCAAGATAAAAAAGGCTATGTCTATTAGCAGATAATAATTACCTAGCTCTATTTAGATTTTCGTTGTCGTGGTGGCCCGGAGGTTTAAGACGCTCGCCTCCCATGCACGAGGCAGCGGGTTCGAAACCTACCAACGGCAATTACCTACACATGTGACCTTTTCCGAGTTATATGTACTTTCTAAGATTATTTAGACACCACTGACAAACGGTGAAGGAAAACATCGGGAGGAAACCTAAGCTTATAATTTCTAATTACAAGTTTGAAATTGAAGCGTGGTGATTATTTGCGTTATATTGCTATTGATTTTATAGCTTCCGAAAATATTTTTTTATATATATTTTTTTGTATCTAGCAGCGTGATAGTCGCCGCGTCGTGTTCGAGGAATGCTTCTGATAAATATGAGTAATCTCATCAAATAATGTCGTAAGTCGAGATACATATAACTAATCTATATAGCTATCAATGCCTTTCATCTAGATCTGATCAGTTGTTATCTATATATAAAAATAAGTCAGCTATAACTCCAGAACGCACGATTTCCACGGTTTTGCATTCGTTGGAAAGGTCTCGGGCTCCGTGAGGTTTATAAAACATATATAAAAAAAATGTTTCTTCATCTTTTAATCATCTTCTTATTTTAATCACCTAACGAAATACATAAAACGAAGCCATCTGTGGCGATACGAAGTTTGCCGGGTTTGCTAGTTTTCTATATATTGTGATCGTCTCAAGTATACAAGCAAGACTTCTACTGCACCCCTTTCAGAAATAACTGATCTGAATTCTAACTTTTGTCTAAACCTAGATTGCGACATCGCGCCAAACTACTAACCTTCTTACTATTATTTTTTCTTATCTTATTAGGTCATCAAATTGGGCATCTGCAATTTTAGACTAGCTACTTATAAAATTGATATCGACTGTCTTTCGACATCATTTTTATGTCTGTCAGTCCGACCTAATCTCCGAAATTGCTAAACTAAAGATTATAGAGTTAGATATCGAAGAAATTGTCACCATGCGTGATCGTCTCGTGATATGGAATTGGCTACCTTTTGAGTCAGATAAATAACAAACGCAAATGGATAAAGATTTATCTACTAACTAGCTATTTCCGCGCGGTTTCACTCGCTCTGGTCGGCGCCTATTAATCGTAGCGTAATATTTTATAGCTTATAGCCTTCCTCGATAAATGGGCTATCGAACACAGAAAGATTTTTTCAATTCGGACCAGTAGTTTCGGAGATTAGCGCGTTCAAACAAACAAACAAAAAACAAACTCTTCATCTTTATAATATTATATATATATAGTAATAGTATAGATTTATCTGCTAAGGAGTGGAATTCTTTGCCAGAGTCTGTATTTCCTGAAGGGTATAATCTGGGTGTCTTCAAAGCCCGAGTGAATAGGTTGCATATGGGTCAACGTGCTCCATCGTAGGCCGCATCATCGCTTACCATCAGGCGAGATAGTGGTTAAACGGCAGTCCCATCTAATATAAAAAAATATCTCTAATAAACTATTTTTTTAAGGGCGATCCCTAACGTGTTTTCGTAACGTGGAGATAATGACAAAACTCTTTTGCCATATTGCTAAATTGTATATTGTTTAAATTAGATAACCATTGTAAATGTGAGAGCCTTGTAATTAAAATAATATTAAATTAGACTAGTAGAATGCATTTGTGTCAGCTTGGAGTTGTCATGCTCACTCAAAGGTCTCATTGGCGGTGGCGCGTGCAGTAGATCGCTCGATTTCCTACAATATGGTTGAGTTGGGCGGTGCTGGTGTACGTGTCATGTTCGTGAACGGGCGCCGTCAACTGGGACTGGTCAGCTTCAGACTGTATTATTTATTGTCTTTAAGGTTATTTTCTTTTTCGATCACTTTGACTAGATTTTATAGTGTTACATTGTTCTCGCACAATCCAAACAGCAAACTATGTAACTAGAGAATTTTATTGTGAACCTGATTGAAAAAGAGGAACCTATGGAGTTTCTTGGTCGTTCTTCTCCATAGGAATCTACACTTTGGAATGAGCAAATAGCTTCACTTTTAATTTTATTGTTGACGTTCAAAAGTGCTTTCTGGTGTAATTGAAATAAATGATTTTGATTTTGACTTTGACTTTGTAGATGAGATCCATAGTTCAGCGGTGGACTCATACGGTGATGATGATTATGATGATGATAATAATGATGATGATGATGATGAAAAATCTTTCTCCTAGTCTTTTATTAATAAGCATTTAGGCTGAATTTAGTCTGACGCTGACGGCACACGCATCCACCATCAGCGCTGCTGGCCGAGATATATAAACTTCTAGGAAGCGTTTTTGAATGACGTAGGTATCAGCGCGTTCGGTAGTCAGCGCTGACCACCAAATATCTCACGCTGACAGTATGCGTGCCGTCAGTGTGAAACTAAAATCAGCCTTAATCTTAACCAGATTTGGCTGAATATAAGTATTTTTACGTGGAACAACAGCCATTTGTCCTGTTCGTGAAAAGAAGCAAAAATTCGACATCAACAACAAAATAAATGCTATTACGTCATCATTCGCTAATTCCCGGACACACAATGTATCATTATATCATTTATATAAAAGTTACACACAACTACAGTTATACATAACCAGATTATACTGGTCTAGCTTCAGATAACCCTTTATACATATTCAACGGTCAGTTTAAATTGGTTATATATAACTTGATATGTTGCCGTGTATACCTCAGTGAAGTCACATATGGACTATAATTGAGCAATTTTATCGTCTGCTGTCGACTCGTTGGTGAAACAATAGACAATCGTAGGATCAAACGGTCGGTTGAACAGTTTCAATGGACGACTTAGATGGTTTTATCTTAAATCGGGTACATGTAAAACTAAAATACCAGTATAAAATGACCGTCGCATATGCAGAAGGATCATACAAAGCGGGGCTCTGGTAAACTGGATTTGTGTAGCTCCATGTTGCTTTGTACCTAGGTCGGAATTGGTGTTATCTTAGTTCTTTATGAATAAGTCACATTGTGTGTCTTTCCGTGTCGTATGTAGTTTCTGTATTTCAAAGAAATATAATACTTATAATACCTATATAGTTAACAAAGTTTGTTACTTTGTATCTACAGATAATTATACTAGCTGGTGCCCGCGACTATATTCGCGTATAATGTGAATTTTAGGAACTTTTTTTTTGTTTAAATTTTTCCAAAATATAAGTATGTTCCTCCTTAGCGCTTCGGCGCTCTGATTGGCCGGCTCAAGTGAACCAACCAATCAGAACGCTTAACTCGCTCGATACTGTTACGATACGAATGCGATAGTTATTCGTGCTTGGCCCTCAGCATTCGATTCCCATAGAGCGATTCGATTTCCACAATGAAAATTTTCGGTGATATAATAAATTATTTTTAATACCTACCTATATTGAGGTGTATATTAAAAATGTGTACCTACTAATCTCAGGCAAAGTTTAAGAAAAAAGTGAAACTTACTTGTCAGATTCGAACCCGCAATGGGAGAGTAATACAATGATGTCCACTCCTTTTCTGTACAACGCTTCAGCTTCACGCTTAGTTGCCTCCTTGGGGTCCGTGAACTTCACCTTGCCGGGTGATGATAGTTTCTATAAATAAAATTATATTTTATTAAAAACTTACTACATCTATACATCTGTACATTTATACATATCTATATGTATATCTGTCTATCGGACCTGCGGACCCGCGAGCTTGGGTAGCTCGCCGCCCGACCTGAAAGAGCCATCAGACAACCACGGATGAGGCCCAATAGGGCTGATGCCAATACAAAGCCACGGTGAACGATGTACCTTCTCCGTGGATTTGTTTGTTTGGTTACCGTGCCGGCCAACGAAAAAAAAAAATTCAACTGACTCCTCTCAAAACCACCGTTCTTACTCCTGCCCTTCGAGCCGGAGCCCTGGTAACCCGTTAAGTCCTCCACGGCTCCGTATCGATCTCCTTTATTTATGATTCCCTAAATAATTTAGCATTAAATTTTAAATAACTACTGTATTGGCAACCAATGTATCTTAAATCATGATTATAATAATAATATACCTACCTAAGTTAAATAATGAAAGGTGTATTTAATAATACATACATAGGTAACATTATATTTCCCAGAATAAACACGTAAAATATAATGTCCATTCCAAGTACCTATTGTTAATTTCAATTTAATTTGACAACTGTATCTTTATTTGCATATATAAGTTTAAGTATGAAATATTAATTTATTCAGTTGTGAATAATATAATGTACCTATAACTGTAAAATAATGGTTATTTTGTCATCATTTTACGACAATAGGTAGATATTTTGTAGAACAATATGACAGATATTAATTTAGCATGAATAATAGGTGTATAGGTACAAATATTTAATTAAAAACGTAATTCTGTTTCGCGAATTTTAATAAATATGTACCAATTCTCTATTTACTTAGGTACATATGCTATGTATGTACAATTGTTCGTTATAATAGTTTGTCTTGGTATACAAGAATCGATACCTACCATAAAATTCTATGCAGGTATCGACAATCGTTCTTGTTATTCTTTTTATAATTGCTTGTAAAAAAATCTCATTAATATTTCATATTTGGTTTTTTATTGTCATGATAATGACATAATAGATGAAGATGAGCATTTCCACGACTTCGTCTACTAAGAATACTTTTTCACACATTTAATCATCATCATCATCATCAACAGCCTATAAATGCCCACTGCTGAGCAAAGCCTCTTCTCACACGGAGAAGGTTTGAGCATTAATCACCACGCTTGCTCAATGCGGGTTGGCGATTTCAAACTTATAAATAGAAATTATAAGTCCAGGTTTCCTCACGATGTTATTCCTTCACCGTTTGTCAGTGGTGTCTAAATAATCTTAGAAAGTACATATAACTCGGAAAAAGTCACATTGGTACTTGCCGTTGGTAGGTTTCGAACCTGCACACTGATGCGTGAGAAGCGGGCGTCTTAAACCTCCGGGCCACCATGACACATCGTTAAATAACACATTTAATATAGGTAAGTAAAAAGGTATCTATAAATTAAAAAATGAATCCCTTTTTCTCTTAGTCACGCCATCACGCGTTCGGCTGGACCGATTTCACTAATTACTTACATTTTTAACTAAAATCGCAGGTTACTCACGTGAAGATACTGAGAAAAGTTCTACTTTAATTATTTTTTGTTGCATTTGTGATTATTAGGAGAAGGTTCTTAAGACAGAAAAAATCCTAAAAATCCTACGGGAACGTGAAAAATCGCGGGCAGAAGCTAGTTAACAATAATTATTACATGTTACGACTAAACAGAGGCGTTAGTACAAGTTTGTTTCATGTTTACAGTAATCGAAATGAGCACGTGTTCGGCGCTCTGATTGGCCGGCGCCAATGAACTAACCAATCGGAGCGCCGAACTCAGTCTCGTTTCGATTACTTTTAACGTAAAACAAACCAAACTCGCCATCGCTTGCCACTAGGTGAGATAGTAATCAAAGATCTATGAAATACAAAAACCCACCGATAATAGGCATCGAACTACACTAGTTGGTCAACTTAGGCATAGAACACAAGTCTTCATGGTTGTTGTATAATCATTACATAACATAACATCACGCCTTTTATCCCCGAAGCGGTAGGCAGAGATGCACATTATGCCACTGTACAATGTAACACCCACTTTTCACTATTTATGTTACGAGTCCCATGTAATAGGGGGTGAGCATATTGAAATATACCGGGCACAATTCCAGACTCCGTGCTACTACTGAGAATTTATCAAAACTCAATAGTACTTGGCCCGACCCGGGAATCGAACCCGAGACCCCTTGCCCGGCAGTCGTACTTGCGACCACTCGGCCAACGAGGCAGTCGAGGCAACGAGATAGTATAATCATTAATGACTAAAATACTCAAGCATTAATTACTTTGGACCTACAATAACCGTATAACACGCTACATGAAGTTCACACCTCAAAACTCGCATGACAAACACATATAAACATAAAAAATCGAATTACAAAACGTACGCACGCGAATTTCACCTAAAAACGTATGAATTCAACGTGTTATAGCACGCATTTCCGCGTGATATAAGTATCTTAGATAATTTTATGACCGGAATGCCGGAGTGATTACACGGCTTTATCGAAAGGACGAAGCCCAATTTGTCCGTTGTGCTGCGTTGCGTCGTCGCAGTGTCATCGCTGCGTCGCTTTCTGTATATTTTTATGGCATTACTAACGTGACAATCCGCTTTGGGCAGGACTGTCCTGCTTTCAGACTGTCTGTCCCGCTGTCCCCCGCAAGAGCAAAAATGTCCCGCTTTAGCTTTAAGATCTATTGTTTATGCATCTATCGTTTTAAATGTAACAAATGTGCGGGCGACACAGTGCGACAAATACAAAAATACGACTTAGAAGTCACCCCACTTCTTAACTTTTTTGTGTTTAGTGCTTTGATTTGTGTTATTCAATCTTCTATAAACTTGTAAAACTCCCAAAACTTTGTTTTATTTTATAATTCCAAAGGTTTTTTTTTTAGAACTATTCCTCAGTTGTCCCGCTTTGGCACAGAAAATAAATGGTCACGTTAGGCATTACCCATGAAACCAGCGGACGAGAGACGAAGCGGGATGTAGGGTGATACGCTGCGCTGCTTCGACGAACAATCATCACGTTTGTATACTACAATTGCGAAAGATGCAGCTGTGTCGTCGCGCGCCCTGGTCGGGCGTACGGTGCATCGTTCCGTTGCTATGTAGCGACGCACCAATGAGACCTCGCCCAAAACTAACGTGAAACAACGCTTGCGTAGTTTTTCACCGTGTTAGTTGGTTAGATCACCGAAGTTTTTTTTTTAGGGGGAGAAAATCATCGAATGTCTGCTCGTCGCCTGGGTGAGGCAGGAGGGAGTGTCAGACTCTTACTGACTAAAAACCACACCGATCATTCTGCACGTCGAGCCGGAGCCCCGGTAACCCGTTAAGTTCTCCGCGACTCCGAATAATTCCGAATAATTTCTAAGAGGCAGGCAATTCATTGTAATTGTTCTGGTGTTGCAAATGTCCACGGCTGACGCTGGTCACCTGACATCAAGCGATTTGTCTGTTTGCTTGTCTCCCATAACCCATAAAAACCTAGCTTCGATAGGTATTGAATTTCACACAAAAATCTAATATATTCCCATGTTCGACGAATTACTTTACTTTGTCATTTGTCAATAGAGAGTAGCTGGAAAGTTTTAGCTAGTTCAATTCAATACTTTTTCGACTTAATCAATTTTGTATGTGATCGTGAGTTGTGACGTCATAACTCATGCGAAGCCAGGACAGACGTAAGTAGTTTTTAATAATCAAGTAAGCATAGGGTTCAATAGGGTTTGTATTACGTCACTAGTGACGTAACTGTTCGAATTATCGTGACGAAAGTAATTCGAATATAATGATGACACATTTAAATAACACAATTTCCTACATATTATTGTAATGATATTATTATATAATTATTATTACGTACAATAACGTGCTTATCTCTATACAACAATTGATACGAACTATATATATAGACACTCTACATTACCTGCAAACATGCAGTATTATATTGGTTACCTCATTACCATATAAATTACTAAATAGAATTCTTTTGTAATTGTTATTTAGGGAGCGTTCAAGTATTACGTAACGCAATTTGGGGGGGCGGGGGGGTCTCGTAAAACGTTACGATGCGTTACACGGGCGGGAGGGGGTCCTTCTTACAACACGTTACGTAACATTATTTCTTTTTTTATATAAAAAAATAGGGAAATAAAACTCCCAAATTGGCAATCCTTTTCGTTTACGTTTTACGGGGAATCTCTCGATTGTATTAGTCTGGTCGCCATTTTTAATTTGTTCTCGCATGTTGGTAAACCTTTTCGTTTATATTTCACGGGGAATCCCTAGATTGTATTGTACGTCCACTGCACTGCACTCCAGGTGCCAGTGATGAAAGAATCTGAGTGGCTAGCAAACCCGTGGACAGAGGAGCAGTAATTTCAATCGAATTGTTTTTATAGACCTACTTAGATACTTGGTTAATAGTTGATTATTTTTTAATTTTGTTAAGAATACGATTATATTTCGAGTAAAATGTTTAATTTCAGTTGGGTTTCTGTTTATAATTGCATTGCCAAAGGTTAAAATAAATATGTTATTTTATTTGAAGAATTTATTAGTAAAAAAGCTAAAATACTTAGGAGAATGAAGGAGAAAAACAATTGTGTTTTGTAAAGCCAAAAATTTATAAAAAAATAAACAAAATACACAGGTGTTGCGAATTAAAAATCTCTTGTTTTATTATAAGGCAATTAACTCGTCGAGTACCGGTTTTATAGACACAATTAAAGAACAATAGGTCGCGGTCACCGGTGACCGCTTGGTGTTTGACAGTTTAAAACTATACGAAGGATAAAAACTATAACAACTTTTTGCGACTTCAGGGTAAAAATGATGACTTGAGTGTTACGTAACCTTAAGAGAGGGGGGTGGGGGGGTACAGAAAAACGTTACGGAGCGTTACAGTGGGGGGAGGGGGGTCAAAAATCTTCAAAAATTGCGTTACGTAATACTTGAACGCTCCCTTACACAGTAAACACAAGAATTCCATTTTTTACATAACTTTATTATACTCATTTATTCATTTATATTTCATAGCAATCTTTACAGGAATTATTTGTATTCCACTTCATTTGAGATATGATAGGAAGTGAACTATACGTAGTTGTAATTGTAACCCATGGAAGTGATGACGGAAACCGACGAAATAAAGATACCTTTCTAAATGAAATTGCTTGATCTTGTTCTTACAGACGAATTAAAAGAGCCCTTATTAACATTAAGGAAATACTTATAGTATCAAAGATTATAAACAGATTTCTTTTAAAGAATACGGGGCAACCTAGCCCTTGTACACCCGCAACACAAGAGGAGTTGCAAGTGCGGATACAGGTGTCCCAAGACAGCTCTGATCACTTAGGTAATTACCATCAACTGACAGGTTTATGCTCACTATTCCGTAAAAAGTGTGGGAGAGCCATGCTTCGGCATGAATAGGCTAACTCGGCCGAGTGATACCACGGCGTCACGTCGTATTTCGTCGTGTGAGTGAGGTTACCGGAGGCCCAATCTCCTGTCTCCCTTATCCCCGAATCCCTCACAATCCTCTAATTTCCAATTCCCAAAAGGCCAGTAATGCACTTGTAACGCACCTGGTGTTTCGAGCGTCTATGGGCGACGCCGATAGTTTACCATCAGGTGATCCGTCTATCCCATCCTTACTAATATTATAGATTGGAAAGTGAGTTTGTTTGTTTGTTTGTTCCGCTTTCACGCTGTAACTACTAAACCGATTGCTCTGAATTTTTGCAGACGTAAAGTTAGAAGTCTGGATTAAATAGGTAATAGGGTACTTTTTATCCCGAAAAAATTTGATATTCCCGAGGGAAAACAAAAGTATTGGTATAGATGGCGCTGTATGTATTGGTATATGTCACATAGGCTACTTTTTATCCTTTCGTGACGCGAGCGAAGCCGCGGGTAAAAGCTAGTAAAAAATAATCCACATCGGGTTGAACATTCACACAACAGTCCATACCATACTAAAAAAAACACATGAATGTCAGAAGAAACAAATATTGAATCTTACCGCTGTATCAGGAGTGATTAGCCCAATGATACCAATCTTCCTGCCTTTCCTCTTCAAAATGATGTGAGGTATGAACAGTCCTTCTAGAATGGGTTCCTCGCTGACGTCCATGTTGGCTGCAAGCACTGGAGCCTTTAATGCTTTCAGGTAAGGAGCCAGACCTTCAGGACCGTCGTCAAATTCATGGTTTCCAAGAGCCTGGGAAAGAAAAGGTAAGGTATAATTTATATTTAGATTCAGTACGAGTAATATTTCTATACCGTACTTATAATTATATGGACTTTATGTATACATGGTCTTTAAAAGCAAGATGGGATAATATAGAGGTATGTAATGTATAAATATCATTTACTTTTTGCCGCTTAAGTTAAGATAATACATAACATAACGTCAAGCCTTTTATCCCCGAAGGGCCAGGCAGAGGTGCACATTACAGCACTTAATGTCACTGTACAATATAACACCCACTTTTCACTATTTATGTTATGAGTCCCATGTAATAGGGGGTGAGCCTATTGCCTTATACCGGGCACAATTCACAATTCACAGACTTCGTGCTACTACTGAGAACTTTTTTAAACCCAGTAATTACTTTGTCAGTCCCGGAAATCGAACCCAAGACCCCCTGCACGGCAGCGCACTTGCGACCACTCGGGTAAGTTAATAGTAGGTACAGATAATAGAATGTTTCATATAATTATGTATTATTTTGTGCACCTAGCTACATATATCTACAGAACCAGTTATTTAACCACATTCATAAGTCATTTTATCATAATTAGTTAAACTGTGTAATCACTATCACAAAGTAATAGAGCGTAACAAACTGTAGAGGTATATATATTCGCATATAAGTAGATAAGCTATCAAATAAATAATGTATAGCCCTACTTTTATATATTTAGTTTTAAAAAAGACATATATTTAGTTATATAATATGTTACGGCTAATACCCGAAGTGCGGCTACACCTAGTTTTAGCTGGTTAGAACTAGATGTAGCCACTTACTCTTGGTTAAACCTAGTACGAGCCTATTGTTTTCGGGTACGTCTGCAAAATTTCAAAGCAATCAGTCTTGTAGTTACGACGTGAAGGCGGAACAAACAAACAAACAAACTCACTTTCCGATTTATAATCTAAACAAATAAATAAAATTGGAGTGTCTGTTTGTAATATTAAAATAACTGCTTCCTACTATATGCATATGAATGTATATACGGTACACATACTAAAATATATTTTTTTACAATTTTTGTCTGTCTGTCTGTCTGTCTGTTTGTTCCGGCTAATCTCTGGAACGCCTGGACCGATTTGGACGGGACTTCCACTGGCAGATAGCTTATGTAATAAGGAATAACTTAGGCTACTTTTATTTTAGAAAAAAAATCTTTTATTTTAGAAAAATAAAGTTATGTTGAAATGTTCAAGTACTGTCCAGTTCCGCGCGCAGCTCACGCGCATGCCACCACTGTGTCGTCGCATCGGATGTCGATCGGATGTCGTCTGTCTTTGTTACTGCATCAGGGATCAGGGATTTTAAAGACAAAATACGAATTCAATTGACTGAATACAATTTATTCATAGACTAGCCTCTGTCTGCGGCTTCTCTCGCGTTCTTTTAATGGGGTGAGGGAAGGATTTACAATAAAAAAATGAAATGATGCACGATTCTATGCTGGTCACAAATAACCCGCATACCAATTGTTAGCTTTCCACATTGAAAATTGCAAAATACCCCATACAAACTTTCACCTCTGTTTCACGGAAGTGGAAGGGAGTTAGAAAAAGACAAAAAGTAGCCTATGATACTCTCCATCTTTTCAACTATCTCAAATCAAAAACCTTCCTGACTCCGTTCTGTCGTGAAATACGGACAAACAAACAAACAAGCACATACAAATTTATATTATTAGTATACATTTCTTAAGTCATCTGACATTTGTGTGACAAGTGAGTTTACAAAGTCAATGTGTCATAGATTTTTTTTATACTATGGTATTAATATTAAGGTATGCAAAGAGGTTGACAGCAGTCTAAGGAGATAAAACCACGAATAAAATATTTTCAGTTTACTTGAATTCGTATTTTTTATATGTATATCAAAAAAACTAGCTAAATGCACATAGCTAAAAAATAATATTAGTCCTTTTCATTTTAGACCGTCAAGGCCAAATTCACTATGATAGTTTGCTGTTTGTTTATGGCATAAGCCGGTAAACGAGCAGACGGATCACTGCGCCGCCCATGGACATCTGTAACACCAGAAGTGCTAGAAGTGCGTTACCGGTCTTTTGGGAATTGGTAATTTGAGGATTGTCAGGGATTGGGGGGGCTGGGGGAGGGGTAATTGGGCCTCCGATAACCTCACTTACACAGCGAAACACTCCTTTAGGTAACCGAGGGCTGGGCTCGCTGTCATTGCAGCGGAAAGTCCCCTCTTTAAAAGTGGCTTTAGAGAGGCCATCAATGCAAGGACCGCCCGGAGAACACGGTGGAGCATACCGTGGCGGTGTACCTTGCATGGGCTGAGCACCGCCGTGTTCTCAGGGATGTAGGAATCGGTGACCTCTCGCGTTCGGCTCTGGTTCAGGCCATGGAGCGAGGGGGATTGGGATGCAGTCGCATCCTTCTGCGAAGCAGTTATGCTTGCCAAGGAGAAAGCGGAGCGCGTGAGGGAATGAACTTCCTCACGCCCCAGCCGTCGCGGGAGACACTCTGGGCGTCGGAGATCGGCCGGCCACCGGCCACCGTAAGTGCGGGTCTGTAGACGAAGAGCAAGGGTAGCTCGCCACCCGACCAGAACCAGTCCCGTGCATACGGCGCGCGCCTTACAGAGCCATGACACCATCATAGATGGAGCCCAGTAGGGCTGATGCTCGATACGGTGCCGCGGGAGGCCTAACGAGTTGACGGGGCTCCGGCTCGACGAGCAGGAGTAGGAACGGAGTGGATTTTAGTCAGTAAGAATCTGTCACTCCCTCTCACCTAACCCAAGGCGGGAGAAGTGATTGGATGATTTTCCGACCTCAAAAAAAATCTCCTTTAGGTAATGACAACCCGATGTGTGAAAAACTACCAAAAAAACTCCTTATATTATTGGTATTGATTACGCTGTGGAAATTATGGACAATAGAGCCAAGGGATGTATTAAGTCTTATAGAGGACATTAATATCAACATTAAAGTACATGTATCATATGTAACTAACCTAATATCAGAATACCTATTTTTTCATTTAAGTGTTTGCGATAGTAACGCACGTCGCACCGGTACATATCAGGTCACATTATAGGAGAGAGGAAATGCCAAAATGACGGAAACTATGCGCTAAAAAACCGGGACCAAGGACGTTGAAATAAAGAGGGGCTCTTACCTTTTAAACCATTGAACCTATTTGGTGAAATTCGGTACAGCGATAGTTTGAGACCCGGGAAAGGACATCTAAAAGTTTTTAACTCGAAAAACCCACGAAACCGGGAACTGTGCTGTTAAAATCACTATATCTATTTGATTGAAATGCGATACAACATTGATTTGCAAACATAGAATAGTGAAACCTCACGAGACGGGCACTGTACGGGTAAAACCTCCATGGGATTGTTTATTTTAGAAACCACGAAAATAAATTCATTTCTCAATAAATATAACCTAGGTACTGAATCGATTGTGATGATATTTGTTCCAGTTGTACAGCCATAGAATATACCTTGACTAATTTAAAAAACCCAATTTATACAGAAGTCGTTATTTCACGCGGACGAAGTCGCGGGTAACAGCTAGTATAATAACTAAAATAACTAATAACTATAACTATAACTAAGGACTAAGGACTAAAGACTAAGGACTAAGGACTAAGGACTAAGGACTAAGGAAAGTAAGGATACCAGTTGGGGCGCGTGGCGCCCCAAAATTGTATACAAGTTAATCCTTAATCAGTTTCTGTAAAAGGTAGCACTGGTAAAATAAAACTATCAAGCGTCATCGATCAGTTTCGAGGGTTACTCGAAAACCATCGAGCGTCCTCGTAAAACTATTAAGCGTGCTCGAAAATAATCGATAGTCCTCGAAAACTATCGAGCGTCCTCGAAAACTATCGAACGTCCTCGAAAACTATCGAGAGTCCTCGAAAACTATCGAGAGTCCTCGAAAACTATCGAGCGTCCTCGAAAACTATCGAGAGTCCTCGAAATCGATCGAGCGTCCTTGAAAACTATTGAGCGTCCTCGAAATCGATCGAGAGTCCTCGAAAACTATCGAGCGTCCTCGAAAACCATCGAGAGTCCTCGAAATCGATCGAGCGTCCTCGAAAACTATCGAGCGTCCTCGAAAACTATCGAGAGTCCTCGAAAACTATCGAGCGTCCTCGAAAACCATCGAGAGTCCTCGAAATCGATCGAGCGTCCTCGAAAACTATCGAGCGTCCTCGAAAACTATCGAGCGTCCTCGAAATCGATCGAGCGTCCACGAGAACTATCGAGCGTCCTCGAAAACCATCGAGAGTCCTCGAAATCGATCGAGCATCCTCGAAATCGATCGAGCGTCCTCGAAAACTATCGAGAGTCCTCGATAACTATCGAGAGTCCTCGAAAACTATCGAGCGTCCTCGAAAACTATCGAGAGTCCTCGAAATCGATCGAGCGTCCTTGAAAACTATTGAGCGTCCTCGAAATCGATCGAGAGTCCTCGAAAACTATCGAGCGTCCTCGAAAACCATCGAGAGTCCTCGAAATCGATCGAGCGTCCTCGAAAACTATCGAGCGTCCTCGAAAACTATCGAGAGTCCTCGAAAACTATCGAGCGTCCTCGAAATCGATCGAGCGTCCACGAGAACTATCGAGCGTCCTCGAAATCGATCGAGCGTCCTCGAAAACTATCGAGCGTCCTCGAAATTGATCGAGCGTCCTCGAGAACTATCGAGAGTCCTCGATAACTATCGAGAGTCCACGAAAACTATCGAGCGTCCTCGAAATCGATCGAGCGTCCTCGAAAACTATCGAGCGACCTCGAAATCAATCGGGCGTCCTCGAAAACTATCGAGCGTCCTCGAAATCGATCAAGCGTTCTCGAAAACGATCGAGAGTCCTCGAAATCGATCGAGCGTCCTCAAAAACTATCGAGCGTCCTCGAAATCGATCGAGCGTCCTCGAAAACTATCGAGAGTCCTCGATATCGATCGAGCGTCCTCGAAAACTATCGAGCGACCTCGAAAACAATCGAGCGTCCTCGAAATCGATCGAGCGTCCTCGAAAACTATCGAGCGTCCTCGAAAACTATCGAGAGTCCTCGAAAACTATCGAGCGTGCTCGAAATCGATCGAGCATCCTCGAAAACTATCGAGCGTCCTCGAAATCGATCGAGCGTCCTCAAAAACTATCGAGCGTCCTCGAAAACTATCGAGCGTCCTCGAAAACTATCGAGAGTCCTCGAAAACTATCGAGCGTGCTCGAAATCGATCGAGCATCCTCGAAAACTATCGAGCGACCTCAAAAACAATCGAGCGTCCTCGAAAACTATCGAGAGTCCTCGAAATCGATCGAGCATCCTCGAAAACTATCGAGCGTTCTCGAAAACGATCGAGCGTCCTCGAAATCAATCGAGCGTCCTCGAAAACTATCGAGCGTCCTCGAAATTGATCAAGCGTCCTCGAAAACTATCGAGAGTCCTCGAAATCGATCGAGCGTCCTCGAAAACTATCGAGCGTCCTCGAAAACTATCGAGCGTCCTCGAAAACTATCGAGCGTCCTCGAAATCGATCGAGCGTCCTCGAAAACTATCGAGAGTCCTCGAAATCGATCGAGCGTCCTCGAAAACTATCGAGCGTCCTCGAAAACTATCGAGCGTTCTTGAAAACGATCGAGCGTCCTCGAAATCGATCGAGCGTCCTCGAAAACTATCGAGCGTCCTCGAAATTGATCGAGCGTCCTCGAAAACTATCGAGAGTCCTCGAAATCGATCGAGCGTCCTCGAAAACTATCGAGCGTCCTCGAAAACTATCGAGCGTGCTCGAAAACTATCGAGAGTCCTCGAAAACTATCGAGCGTGCTCGAAATCGATCGAGCGTCCTCGAAAACTATCGAGTGACCTCGAAAACAATCGAGCGTGCTCGAAAACTATCGAGAGTCCTCGAAACCGATCGAGCGTCCTCGAAAACTATCGAGCGACCTCAAAAACTATCGAGACTCCTCGATTAGTTTCGAGAGTTACTCGAAAACTATCGAGCGTTCTCGAAAACTAACAAGCGTCCTAGGAGTAGGTCCTGTTAGATAAATTAAATTTTATCCAACATGGATTGTCTGGACCTACTCCCAAAGCGTCTCCTGCTATCTATCGAAAATGATAGAATACAATGTTTTCGAGGACGCACCATAGTTTTCGAGTAACCCTCGAAATTGATTGAGGCGTATCCCGCCAAGCCTTCCGCCGCGCGTCACACTCATGACTCTCAGCATCTGCAGCAGCGGCGCGGGGTGGAGGGCATAGCGAGGCACGTGCCTCTGCAGGTTGTGAGCGCCAGGTGCTGCTGATCTACTCAGGTCTACTAGCGAGTGTGACTCACAGCGTCTGCAGCAGCAGCGCGTGTCTTAGTTTTCCTAACAGGGATCGGCATAGTTGTAGCTAGCATGCTATCGGCAGACCTTTTTTAGATATTAAAAAACATCCAATAAAAAAAAACGTAGAGTTTTTTTATACTTATAAATCACATTGTAATAATTAATTATTAGGAGTACAATTTTTATTATATTAGGAACAATCAGGAACATTTTTAACAACAGAAAATAAGTAGTTGCAAATAAAATTTAAAGAATGATATTATAATTATAAATCACACTTTTATAAAGTAATATAAACTATTTATTAGAACAACTACACTTGACTGACATTTTTAGTTGCACAAAATACCAGCAGCTTTGCAGAGGCTCTTTTTGTTGAACTCCTAAGTGGAAAACTGGTGGGAAGGGGGGTTCTCTTCATATCCCTACTCTAATTACTGGCAAAACAAACAGACTTGATAATATTTTATACCTTAAAACTCACAAAATAAAAACACTTTTAACTTACATGAGCATCATGAGGTATCAGATTCATGAACTCCTGGGTGACATTCCACTTCAGTAGGGTATACCAGTAGGTCCCCTGGAAGCTGTCTCCAGCGTTCAGGACTATGGAGTTTGGTTTCTCTTCTAATAGAGTGTGGATTTCTTTGTATAGACGAGGGAATCCACCGATGCATGAGTTGTTGTTGTATCTACAGCTTGGAGTGTCTACTGATGTTTCTTCGAATCTGGAAAAGAAAATAAATATCTATAACATAACATAACATCACGTCTTTTTATCCCCAAAGGGCAGGGGTGCACATTACGGCACTTAGTACCACTGTACAATGTAACTTCCACTTTTCACTATTTATGTTGTGAGTCCATGCAATAGGGGGTGAGCTTATTGCCATATACCGGGCACAATTTTAGACTTCTATGAATAACCGTGTAAATATGAGTAACCGGATATTCTGTGAATGTAGATCATAAGCTCGAGAAGTACGAATAAAAAGATTGTACTCAGTGGCAGTCTATAATTTATAAAGTCAATAGAGTTGTGTTGTTGAGTTATGTAAATAATGATAATTATCATTATCTCAACAATCACACTACTTAATACTGAAGTGTGAAAGTTTTACTGTTTGGATGTTTGTCCGTCAATCACTCTGAAACTACTGAACGGTTTTTGATGAAATTTGGTATACAGGCAGGGTATAGGCTGACTTAGTTGATGGGATACTTTTTGTCCCGATTAAATGCTCCCATGAAATAAACAAGAATCATATTCTACGTGTATACAGCCGCGGGTTTAGTTAGTGTAATAACTCCTCCGCCGAGGTATAAAAACTTTCACAAATATTATCCTTCCATAAAAAATCCTGTATTGTGTAAGGAAACCGCATAAGATTCATTAAAATGATTTTATGTTAGTCATTGACAGACTGGCGATGGCGATTGACACACGAGGCGGGGATTTTTGTTTTGTTGCATCTTAGGATAAAAAAGACAAAGATACATTTTTTTGGTATAAGGAAATTAATAAAAATGGTCATCAAATACATAATAATAAATGCATTGCATTAGTAAACTGCTATGATTATTTATTAATTTCATTTATAAACAACATAACATAACATCACGCCTTTTATCCCCGAAGAGTTAGGTAGAGGTGCACACGAAGTAACACCCAGTTTTCACTATTTATGTTATGAGTCCCATGTAACATTTAGGAGGTGAGCCTATTGCCATATACCGGGCTCATTTCTGGAACTCCGTGCTATTGCTGAGATTTTTTTAAAAAGCCCTGTAATAGGTACTTTGCCCCACCCCAGAATCGAACCCGAGACCCCTTGCCCGGCAGTCGCACTTGCGACCAATCGGGCAAGGGGTCAAAGTAATTTCATTTAAGTGTTTTTTTATTTAACTTCCACAATCCCCCGGTGAATGTAAGTGTCATGGCGTCTCAGATTCTATAAATTTCGGCCCATTCGTGCCGAAGCACGGAACTTCAAACTTATACCAAATTCTTTATTGGATTATATTTTACTCCCAATTACCTTCCCCTTCCCCAATCTCCCCAATTCCTGAATCCCCAACGATCCTCAAACTCATAATTCCCAAAAGGCCGGTAACGCACTTGTAACGCCTCTGGTGTCCAAGTGTCCATGATCCATCGATTGTAAGCCATCGGCGTCGGCACGGCATCAGGTGATCAGTTTGCTCGTTTACTGGCATATCCCATAAAAAATAAACAAAGATCAGAAACCGCTGCTTACTAAGATAAAAACGGTTTAACGCATGATTTGTTCTAGTTTCTTAAAATTTTTATAGATAAATAAAAACTATCTTGCAATCAGTTATCTGATTTGAAACCTCATCTACTCCTCAATCATCGTTCAGATTTTTTTAAACAATTGTAGGTAAGATAATGCTACATAAAACTGTCCAATCAAAACTGCTCAATACAAGAATCTTATTTGAAATCCTTTGTCCAATCAACAGCCTTAAGTGCTCACTGCTGAGCAAAGCCTCTTCGCACACGGAGAAGGTTTGAGCATTAATCACCACGCTTGCTCAATGCTGTTTGGCGTTTTCAAACTTATAATTAGAGATTATAAGTGCATGTTTCCCCACGATGTTTTTTCTTGTCCGTTTGTCAGTGGTGTCTGAATAATCTTTGAAAGTACTTTTAACTCGGAAAAAGTCACATTGGTACTTGCCGTTGGTAGGTTTCGAACCCTCGTTTTAACCTCTATGCCACCAAGTTATTATCCTTTGTCCAGCAAATTGCAATCAGCTGCGCCAAAGTCAAAGTCATTTTTTTTATGGGACAAGCCCGCCACAACCTCCCAAAACCGCTGCAACTCCTGTAAGCCAGATTCTACAGTAGATACAACCATGAAAACACCGTAAAACTGAAGTCCGGCGCGTCCCAGGGACATGAGTAACTGTCTTGGTTCCCGCAACGAAGTGAATTAGAAGATATTATACGAAGAGAAGAAGAAAAACTATAGTTTCCACTTCCCTCGGTAAATTACTGACATAAAGTCAAAGTCAGTCATCATCACTACAAATATAGTATGCTTGAACGAAATCATATTCAACTATTGGTCAACTTAGTATTCAACTTGAACCAATGGTTTCTGTGCATGTATAAAAAACTTCGCTAGCTGTACATACATTAGGATATTGCAAATCTACGTCTTTCAGAAATCATTATCTTTATTAAAATTTTTGATCATTTTAAGAAGGTAAATACAAGTCCGTTCCATTATGTAATGAAAACAATAGCTTTGTACCTTACCTACTACAGATTTTCAAAAGAATAATACAGACCTACATTTTGTTTAAGACGCAGAATACAATACAAGTAACAACAATTTACTAAAAGGATATGAAATGAACCATTTGTATGAAAAATAAGGTTTTCTGTAAAACATAATGTAAATGTGAACCGAAAATTCTAACAATATGTTCCCATAGAAACATAGCTAGATTTTGTTCAATTTATTTTAAGCGTGGGAGCCATGCTTCGTCATGAATGGGCCAGAAAACTGACGTGAAGCAACGCTTGCGTTGTGTTTCATCGTGTGAGTGAGATTACCGGAGGCCCAATTACCCTCCCCTTCCCCAATCTCCCCAATCCCTGAATCCCCAACGGTCCTTAAACTCCTAATCCCCAAAAAGCCGGTAACGCACTTGTAACGCCTCTGGTGTTCCAGGTGTCCATGGGCGACGACGATTGCTTACCATCAAGTGATCCGTCTTCTCGTTTACCGGATTATGCCATAAAAAAAATTTAATATTTCGCATGCATTAATAAGTTATGTAGAACCTGGAAGAACTGCGAGCTAGATCTCGATGAACTTGTGATTTTTTTATCGCTTTATCCGTTGAAATAGAACCTACGTATTGTAACTAAACGATTTTAATATACCTCTATATTACCAAGGTTTATTGAACAGAACAAATCCACATTACAGCAGTGATGGCGCAGAGAGAAAACAAAAACAACCTGTCATCTATCATTATATGGAACGCGCCACTTTCAAATTACTACAACGTAGTGTTGTTAAAACGATTATGGAAATAAATATGAACAAAAAGAATTTGGACAGCTTCATTCTTCCGTTGGTAAGGATAAATTCAGTATAGAAATAATTTAAAGTGGCAATATGCTTATTAGTTTAGTTATGATTCTTAGATTTTATTATTATAGAGTTCGTTATATGTGACTGCCTCGTTGGCCGAGTGGTCGCAAGTGCGACTGGCCGGGCAAGGGATGACGGGTTCGATTCCCGGGTCGGGCAAAGTATTACTGAGGTTTTTTAAAAGATCTCAGTAGTAGCATGGAGTCTGGAATTGTGCCCGGTATATGGCAATAAGCTCACCCCCTATTACATGGGACTCATAACATAAATAGTGAAAAATGGGTGTTACATTGTATATTGGCATTAAGTGCCGTAATGTGCACCTCTGGCTACCCCTTCGAGGATAAAAGGCGTGATGTTATGTTATGTAAAGTAGTCCCTACACAAGTGGATAATGAAATAGTTTCGTTTAGAATTCTCAGATTTTTTTATAATAGAGTTCGTTACATGTTTACCTAAAAAAAAACGTGTCAATAATAAAAATATAATAGTAACTACTAATAATACAAAATTAAATGCGTTTGTCAGTCAACTCGCAAAATACCGGTGCACAGTTTCGTCACAAAATCTTGACATTATTATATCAGTGAGCCAGTCAGCTGAGATTAATATCAAGGTCAAATTGTAATGATTAAAACGAGTTAATAACAATAAACATAGATTAGATAACACACAAAGTACCGTATTCAATTTGTATTATTTCTGTGATTGTTACGTTTATCAAACGGAATACTTATGCGATTGCAAATTTCGAACTACGAAAAAATTTAATATTAATCATTTTTTCATTTCTATCCCTCGGAGAAGCAATAGATATTTTTATATCTATTGCCTTGACAATAGGTACATAGTAGTTTCATTTATATATAGAATCTAGCTACTTCCACGCAGTCTCACATGCTCTGCTCAGCTCCTATTGGTCGTAGCGTGATGTTTTATAGCCTATGCTATGGAGGCCCAATTACACCCCCCCCCCCTCCCCAATCTCTCCAATCCCTGAATCCCCAACAATCCTAGAATTCGTAATCCCCAAAATGCTTGAAACGTAACACACTTGTATCGCCTCTGGTGTTCCATGGGCGACGCCGATTGCTTACCATTAGGTAATCCGATTGCTCGTTTACCAACTTATCCCATAAAAAAATATAACTTAGAATAATCATGGACAGTGAATACCAATAGGCTGTTTACTGCCTGTGCTATGCCTTCAAGTTATGAACGCTATTAACTCGTCGAGTACCGGTTTTATAGACACAATGGGGATGATGACAGGGTATGAAAATTAAAAATATAATTAGTCCGTAAGTTAGGTAATGAAAAAATATTAGACACGTATTTTTTTATTTTGTCGTATAATAAAATAATACTTAGATAAAACGAATCAAAGTTTAGGATTGGGGGCTAAAACGTTATTTCTTAGTATAAAATGTACTGAGAAGTGACGTCACGCGACATTTCAAATCAATATATCTTCGAAACTATTCGTTTCTGTGAGAAATTAAAATACGTGTCTAATGTTTTTAAATAATCTATCAGACGGACATTAAAATAAAAATTAGTCGTCTACCCTCGCGGTCACCGGTGACCGCTTGGTG